ACACACACACACAGACACACACTCCCCACATGCTCAAATTGTATCTGGCTAAATGGCCTACTGTTAAATATTTACCCAAAAACTGTCTGCATTTGCTATGAAGGTGACATCAGAACAAAACAGAAGGAGCATCTGCCCGCATTATGCTTTCATAACGCTGCATAAAAGGCGTTGTTTGTTGCCTTTAAAATGCAGCACTTTTATAAATAATGCAGCTCTCGATTTCAAGAGGAAACACTTAGAAGTTGGCTTCATAAAAAATAAATCCCCAAGTTTGTGTTTTTTTCCCTCTGGGATCATAAGAGGAACAGTTAGGAAGTTAAGTGCCGCTACAGTAAATGAAACAAGCTCATCAGACACAATGCTAAATTGTTAGCCACAGCACTATAGTGAGAGAAAAGGCACACTCTCGCTTTCTTTGTAACTGCTGGATTATGGGGTCTATTTAGGCTCTAATTAGTGTTCATTTCAGGAGTTTCCAGTCTTAAATGTGTATTAATGTAATGACAGGGGACTTGTTTGTTTTTAGGCGTCTAAGTGGAGAGGCTTAATATGGGCTAGCTAAATTAGCACATCCATTCTGACAAGTGCTCTAATAACTGCTGCAGATTAACTTATGACCCTGATTGGGAGCACAAAGCTCATGGCCACTGTTGCTCCGGTGGACCAGACCCGTTGTAGTTAAGACTCCGAGAGGCTTTAGCGCCTGAACTGCTGGTGCTGCCGCCTGCTTCCGTGTATATTATTAGGTTAATAGGATTTCACTTGTTTACACCAACTGTTAGCTTAGCTCGAGGTCAAAGAGGTGGCTTAAACTTGTGTAATTGGCTTATTAAGAAGGCTCAAGTAGCATTGTAGTGAGGGGTTAAAACACACACAGACATGGAGTGCCACACGACGTGCGTCGAGCACGGGCTAACCGCATGCTCGCTGTTTTTTCAGCCTCTGATAACGCGCAGATTGCGAAAGCTGACCTTTGTCGGTGGCTAGCTATTGTTTGCGGATTGGTTGCACACTCCGCAGGCTGTGAAAGACACATCTGCTGCCTCGCACACAGAAATGGAGAGAGGGATCAAGGGGAGGAGGGGAAGGAAGACCTGTGCCACACGTCCCACACTGCCACAATACCTATCCGCTTATCAAATATTTGTCCGGCCTTCGCTACCTATTTACTTTCCCTGTGTTTGCTTTGCTTATTCAAGTCTCCCCGTGCCAGATACAATGTTACCAAGGACTTGATGCGACAGTCTGTTTTTTTGCCCCGGGTTATTCACCCCCTCGCTGTCTGAGGGCACATAGACATTTTCTTTTGTTTTACAGTTTGCTTTCAATTTTCTCTTCCTCGCAGCTTCTTTCAAAGTGCATCGTGCATCTCCACGAACTTGCTCATAAATACGTCGGGTCGCTCCGTGCTTCGATGACAAACAGAAGTGGTGTTAATTTGCTCACTCTTCCCACAAACCCTTCGCTGAATGGCCCAGCTGAAAATGTGTATTTGTTTAATATGCTTTTGATTGATTCACTGATGATGATCCATACAGTCAGTATTGAGAACACACACACTTTCGGAAGCACAAAAGGCCTCTTTGTGCTGCTGGCAGGCAGGCAGGGCTCATGAATTCGGGGAGCGGGGTTTAGATTGCTTGATTATTTGGTACAGGGGCCCAGGCAAGTCACAGAGCCGGTCTCTGCTGCATGGCTGTGGTGACGGAGAACCACAACAGAGGCCGAGCCCGAACCCAAAATGATGGACAGCAGCCAGAGACAGATACACACCACCCCTGTCACACACTTGCGGTTTTTAAAAAAGAAAGCAATTTAGTTAATGATTTCATTCTGAAAGCCTGTCGTGATGCATGCGTCTGCCCCTGCCAGGAAAAGGAGAGCGGAAAGAAGGGAAGAAAGAGAGACAAAGGTGTTAGTCAACATGACTATACTTAAGTTTGAACTGTTTGCGGCTGCCGCTAGGATCGTGTTACGAATGGAGCAGACCATCGTAATGCTACTTACCACTGGCTGAGGAGGCCCGTCAGCGACTGTAGAGGGCTTTTTTTCAGTAAGATATTTTTCCAGCTTGCTGAGAACATTTTTAAGACACTACTGTGCTGTTTTATCTGAAACGGGAGCATGTGAGTTGGTCAGACATACGGTTTAATAGCAGACGGGTGAGACATTTTCTGTATCAGTCAGCGGCTAATCCAGTAATGTGCCTGCTTTCTGGCCTGGGTACAAATCTACTGCACATTTTTCTGTTCAACCATGCTTGTCAGCTCCTGCTTTTATTAGACCGTGGTTCAGCGTGTTTCGTATTCACTTTACCGCTTTTTCCCTGCGCCGCTCCATCTTAGCATTGCTAAAACATCAACCCTTCATGTACTCTCTGACTCAGATTTTCGTGGCAATTACACAGATCGATGGACGGACTCTCCGTCTCACCCTCTCTGTTCTCCTTCTCCCTCTCTCCCTCTTTTTTTGTATCGGCTGTCAGTCATGTGGGGAACTTCTAACCACCTCCTGACAGACATGAGTGCCAGTCGTTCGTTTAGTGGGTTTTTTTATTCAGCTGCCTTCTTCCGACCTGTCACCGTGGCCACACACTGTTGCCCATGCTTTCCCTTGAACAGGGGCGAATGAATTAGGTTCAGAGGTTTAAATCGGCAATCAATGTCACTTGGCCCAACATAATAAGGTTTAATCGTAGATCTTCAAGATGTGTCCTAGTTGACCTTTGCGATTCGTCAGGCATCTATTACATGGCCTCATCTGGGTGGAGTGAACAAACTACCCCTATTATAATTTTTCCGAATGATGCATCACATGAATTGTGGCCGTTTTGGCATCCACTTCTAATTTTCCCTGATCATGTCTTCTTCTCCATTATGCTGTCATAGAAAAATAGTATATTTTGTGTCATTTATGTCATTAAATAAAATAATACATTTTTCAGCAGAATTAGGAATTAAAGTAGTGATAACTAGGGCCAGACAGAATCTGTGGTAAATTTGTAATATGTTTGCACAGAATATTGTAAAAAATCTGTGGATTTGGATCAGGGTGGGGCCAAGTAGGAGCACTGTAATCCCCCGAGCTCTGCGAGGGTTGTGGAAATTCCAAATTGAACCAAAACAAACGATTACAATTGGCTTAAGATTGGCAAGGAAAGTTCGGCACATGCGTCAACCAGCAGAACTTGGGAATTAAGAAAAAATATTAAAATATCTGCCGATTTATTCAGATTGATTTTGAGTGTTTCGTTAATATGTTAAATAAAAATATATATATTTTATTCTTTTATTTAATTTTACAATGTAAATCCTATTAGATCCATTTATTCAGAAAACAAATCAAGTATCTCATATAATATATCTACCATATATCTACTAAAATACAGAAATAATTACTTTACAAAGTGAATTGTAAGCAAATCATACGAACATTTTCAAATTAGTCATATTACTGAAATTGATTTAAAAAATGACTAAATGTAAATTTACACACATTTACCCACAATTAAATAATCAGACTCAATGATGGGCTAAAAATCCGCGGAAATCTGCGGAAAATGAGCTGCTGTCTACCCAAAATAGTGTACTATTGAAGGTATTTTCTTTGTCCACAGAAATACTATTTATGTGACGAGAAAGGAAGGTAACAAAGCAGCTTTTCTTTTCATTAGACACTGCAAAATTTTCCAATTTCGTTTAGTAGCGACTGGTGCAAAAAATAAAGGCATCCTATTTTTGGAAAAAGAAAGGAATTAGGGAACTGTGGCTGTAGAAAGCAGGCCACTGTGTGCCGGCATTCCAGATGTCCAAACGGCAGTTGTACCAGCCCAAGTTTTTCTGGGCACTGGCTGCCAGTGATGACCTCATGAGCTCCAGTCTGAAGACTGTAGGCATACAGTTCTCGCTGACACAGGCTTGAATAGCCCTCAGCCTTTCATGCGTCCATTCATTCTCTCCAGTCCTCTGGCGGCAAAATTACTCCCTCATAATTAGCCATTGTCCCCATTTTTGGCTAGTCTGGAAAAAAAAAGAAAGTTTTTTTTAGCTAGTCACTTTTGTCTCGCACCCCCCTCCCCCTCCTACTTTCCAGTCTATCATCCTCCATCTTGCCTAATATGTGTATTGTGAACCTGAGCAATATACAATCCCCTTCCTCTGTCTATCTTTAGTATTCCCGCTTCATTCTGTCTCTCGTCACAGTGGACTGTGGGAGATTTTACACTCGATTTGTTGTCTCCTTTGGTAAAAAGTCACCCGCTCTGAAGAAAAGTATCTTTATAAATGACAGAGAGGACCTGTCCCTGAATGGTGCTTTGTTTACTGTTTTTCCAAAAAGGGGCCCCCACTATATTTCATCTGTCAGACTTGCTTTTCTTTCCTCCAACAATGCTTGATTGTTTCCACACACAAAAAAAGAAACAAGAGGGACAGAGAGAGTAAGAGGAAAAGGGAGAGAGAGAGAGAGAAACAGAAAGAAGGAAAAAAAAAGAATCCAGGTTCCACAGACAGGAGAATTCTGTATTATATTTTCCTGCCAAATTCCGATCTCTGTTTTCCTTCCCCTGCGCTCACAAAGGGCTCATAACTTACTGTCAACTGTGAGGGAAACCACAAAGCTCCACTGTTGCTCAGCAAATAGGCTGTGTTGCTTGATAACTTCACTGGCTGTAAAGTTTGCTTAACTGCAGCACTGACACCAGGCACTTTGGGAACTGCTGCCCCATAAGGCCCCGAGCGAGGGACGGAGAATCAGCGAGCTGCTTTTCTTGAAATCTCGGCATCATCCCTGACCATACGGGGACTGAACGAAACACACGTGCGAGCGAGACTGGTTTAGTGTGTGTGCGTGTGTGTGTGAGCGGAGGAGCTGAACAGCTGCTCTGCCGGTGGCTCCGTTCAGCGTGGCGTCGGATGTGTTCTGACAAGACGTGCCGTGACTGGGACGAACGGCCTGCCTGCGCTCAAGTGCTTTTGTGTGTGTTTTGTATGTGTCAGAATTGGAGGAAGTGTTATGCCATCCAGCGCTGAAGTGCTGTGTGAAGAACAGAGAGGGACAGGAGCGGCCAGACAGGCTGAGGGGGACGTTATGTGAGTGTACACACTCATTCACACACACTTCTAACAGTGAGAACAGTCACAGGATGCTTGAGCTAAAGTTCTGTGAGGATTTTATTTCTTTGCATAATTATTTACAAGGTAATTTTGGAGGTCTAAAGTTGACTTTTAGTAATGTTGTATGCTCACTTAATGTTCTTCTTGACTTTGCGAGATGTATATAAGTTTTATTATTAAGTGTCAAAGCAGCTGAAAGACAGTAAAGGAGCGAGTGATGTGTGAAGGAACAGCTGTCATAGCTGATTTTTAAGGGTTGCAAGGTTAACGTTTATGGAGTGCAATAAAAAAGGTGTTTCTGAGATTATTAGAGGTGTCTATACATAGTTGTGATTTAGTCTTACGCGATGAGTTGAAAAGACACTTCATTTTTTGTAATAATCATAATTTATTCACTAATTGATACATTTTGAATATTTTTACATGCGTAATTACTTTAATATTCTTTAATATGTGCATATTTTTATAATTGGTCATACTAGTAGTAGTTTTTATTGCTGTTATTGTTGCTACTTTTTTGTATAATGTTTTTAAACATTCCTGTCATTTAAAGTAGATTTACTTCTTTAATAATAAAACAACATAATATAATATAATATAATATAATATAATATAATATAATATAATATAATATAATATAATATAATATAATATAATATAATATAATATAATATAATAATAAAATAAAAATATACTAAATAATAATAACATTAATATTAATAATAATTATTATAACAATAATAAAAATAATAATATAATAATAATTAAAAAATATGAATAGTGGTTATTTTAGCAGTAAGAAATCATAATCAAATTAAATTTGCGTATTTAATAGTGGTGTTTTTATTACTGTTATTACGAATAAGTATTAGACTTATTCTTAATTTGGTTGTTTTTGTCTACATGTAAGTTTAAGTTGTTGATCCTAAAATAAATCTTGTATTAAATAGCTTATATATTGCTAACTCAAGAGCAGACCCTGATTTGAAATGCGCGTTCTGAGACAGCATTCTGACTGTTCATTGATGGATAGACTGCTCAGGTACAATGGAAGGTGATAATTTGATGGTGCTAAACAGCTACAGCAGGGACGATAATTTTCCAGCCTAGGTTTCACAGGTGACAGAGGGCTGATTACAGGAGGTGAGGACTTTGAGAGTCTGTGCCGTCACCTATGTGATCTGCTGTCAGAGAGACGCTCACACAAAGACACATACTGTATGCAAACTCATTATGCTTGTTCTCGCTCTCTGAGGGACACCAGTGCAGGAGTGTAATTCTTAACACGAATCTCGACTATCATGTTTTGTAATGACGAGTGGGAATATTGTATGTTTAACATTTCACTCTTGTCTGAAAATTAATACTGATGACTCCTGCGCTAGTAACTGAATACTGGCTACCAGGGCTTGACATTAGCTTTTTTGATCACCAGCCACTCTGGCTAGTAAATTTCCACCATTACTAGCCACTCACCATTTTCACTAGCCACAATTTTGTTGTTGGGAATTTTTTTTTATATGCGTAAATTTGACTTTGACATGCTAAAAATTACTTAATTTACACCAGTTATGTCCACTTGCCTCCTCATCCATTTCACTTTTTTGTTGTTGTATATGAACTGGCTTAATGTGCATGAGCAAATGGGATATGGTTTCAGAGTGTTGCATTGCAATGACATTTTTTTTTCACATGACTTTTCAGGGCTCAACACTAAGGATTTACCAAATGTATCTCTGACCCCATGAAAAATAAATAAATAATTATTTATTAGCCACACATTTTTGAATAATATGTCAAAACAAGCAAAATATATATGTATATATATGTATGTATATGTATGTATATACGGCATATATATATGGCGGGTGTTAATGTAAAGCCATGCTCGCTACAATAGCTGCTTTAGTAAAACTGTAAATCATCAGTATCATCATTCAACATTTGTTTTCAACACTTATTTCTGTTTGCTTGTTTTGCTTGTATTAATTAAATGTATTTTGCAAATGTATCACTCTCTGTTTATACTCCCCGAACTGGCATAATTATCATAAAAGTGTGTTATTATAAACCTCGCCACAGGAACAGCGCACAATACACAGTTGCTCATTTCATTTTTCACGGATTTCCTTTCAGACGCAAGTGCTTCCTTTTACACTTGGAATAATTGCATTGGAGTGTCCTGTTTCTGATTTATGATTAGCCTTTTAAACTCTCATTTGAAGAGTTTTTTTTTAATAGCAGACTTTTATACTGCTGCAACTTTCTCTGTTTCTTTGTTTCTTTCTACCTTTGCGTTTCTTATGAGTAGGGCCAGACAGAATTGGCGGACATTTTTTGCTATTTCTGCCGAGAATTTTGTAAAAGATCTGCGGATATATGCAGAATGATTTTAGGAGTATTATAACGAAAAACTTAATTTGTGAAATAAAAAAATAACACTTTTATTTAATGTTTACAATGCAAATCCAATTTAGACCCACGTATTTGGTAAACAAAGCAAGTCTCTCATATAATGTATCTACTAAAACGGTGGTTGACAACTTTTTTTTTTTTTTTGCCTAATACCCCCTTTTCTGCTGGAAAATGTTGTAAGGCCTCTACATTTAATAATTTATCACACATACCTGTATAAGATTGTAGTATGTATGACAAAAAAAAGTTGTTTTCAAACAAACCGAATATTTATTACTATATCTATATGTTTATGCACAAATAATAGCCTAATGTAAAATATAACAGCAAAACATTAGAAGGCTGTTTGTATTGGGTATACTTTGCGATATTGGGGATGAGTCGTCTGCAAACGTCTTAGTATTTTGGACAGCCTCATGCTTTCGTTAGCAAGAACTTTGGCACTGATAATGCACTGTGGCTGGGTCAGAGACTCTTTGCTTCGAGATAATAGAATAAAATCAAAGTTCGGGCAACTTTTTTGGTATTTAATTTGCAGAAATGCTGGCGATGCGACCTGAAATGTTTGGAGCTTCCTCACCTGTGTCCAATATGCTCGGGTCATTACTATTAGCTGCTGAAGGCAAATCAGTCAGACTCTTTCTTTTTTGTAAAGGACAAACTACAAATTTGTCAATTTTTTGGTAAGCCAGGGAATTAAATGAACTAAGCCAACACGATCGTTCTCCTAATTCTAATCTCCTAAATAAAAATGACATGACACCCCCACAGAGCTCGCTGAAGCCCCCTTGTGGGCCGGAACCCCCTGTTGGGAACCTCTATACTAAAAGACAGAAAATATTACTTTACAAACTTTATTGTAAATAAATCATATGAACATTTTGATATTACTATTATTATCACAATCTTATTGGTAAAATTTATTTAAAAACTGAGTAAATATGAATTTACACAAGTAAATACACAGACTCAATGATGGGCTAAAAATCTGTGGAAATCTGCAGATTTCTGCATGCACAGATTCCGTGTGGGCCTAGTTATGAGGCTGTATTTTGGAAGCGTGCGTGCATGCGTATGCTCAAGCATGAACATACACTCACTCATGCGAGTGTGTGTGTGAGTGCTGTTATCCATGGAAACTTGAAGCCCTGTCATAAAGCAGCTTTTGCCATTTTTCTGCTCACCCATCGTTAGCTCCTTCAACAATGGCCCTCTTGTTTTACCCTCTTTTATTTGATTATTTCTCTTCATATAGGTCTGGGTGGTGGTGCCGGAGCGAAAAGAGGCCTTCTAATATTTCCTTTCAGGAGTGGCTGGTGATTTAGGGGGTCTGTGGTTTTCAAGGGGTGTGGGGTGACCGAAGGAAAAGGGGGCAGCAGTGACACCATAGCTCAGGAGTTACTTATCGCCATTGTCTATAAAAGGGCAACAGAAAGACATGGGGGACACAGAAGAGCGGGGCGAAAGTGGATATCCCAAGACACATGGCCCCCAGTCATGAGACCCCCTGAAGAAACACCAGCGCGGGGTGTCTTCTAATGCCACTAACCAATTAAACAGAGGTCAGTGCGTGATGAAACGTTAGCAGCGGCAACAATTCATGAGTCGAAGCATTCCAGGCTACATGAGAACTCATGCCGAGAACTTAACTCCTAATCCTCATAAACGTATTGCAATATTGTCAGCTATATATGGGGCCTTTCTCTCTGCCTGTAAAAAGACAAGCTGTGCTGCCCTACACTTATTGATTGGTTTGGTTTGTTAGCCGTCCATTGTTATTGTGTAATCAGGCCTGAGCGGGAGAGGACTGACAGGAATTCATATGAGGCCACTCTGGCTTAGCTGATATATTCTCTGCTTAATATGCACAAAGGCCAATGGATCGGACTTATTTACTGGAGAAACAGATTGAATTATTAATAAGAATAAAAGGAAGCACTGCGGTGGCTCCCTGTTTGTATCCTTGCAGCGTAAAAAAAGAAGCATTTAATTTGATGAAATACGGTGGTGTCGGGGCTGCTTCCTTTCCTCTGTCATATGCCACATTCTGGTTTTTATTTTATGGCTTGTAGGCAGGAATTAAATGATTCTGAAGTGTGCTTAAAGGAAAAAAAAGCCATCTAGGAATCAGGCCTTTATTCCGGCTAAACGCCAGCCACATTGTTCCATTCTGCAGATTAGCCGGGTGGATGTGAGTGGGGCGGGAGGGTGTTATGGTTGGGAGGGATTGTGGGGCAAAACTCACGAACCCCAGCGCTCATGGGCTGAGCCGCCCTCCCGGCTCTCCTAATGAATTATTAACTCCAACTGACAAATACTGTTACGGGGCCCTGGCTCAGATCTGTTGCGTTTTGGAGTAAAATTGCTGTAGACACATGTTACAGGAGGATGGAGTCAGCCTCTCTCTCTCTCTCATTCTATCATGCCTCAGCAGTTTGACTGATGGCTGGAGACTGAAGGGAAAGGCCTGAGAGACTGAATATTTTAGAGGTAAAATAATACCGCTTGATTTACTGTGTAATACAAAAGAAGTGCTTTGTTTCGCTCGCAGTCCATTGAAGATGAAGGTGGGGGTTGTTGTGCTGGAAGCTCAGGCTCTTTGGATCCATGAATAAAAAATCCCTCTCTCTTGTACTCTTTTTCTGCGCTTTCGCTGCTTCCTCTAGCCGTCGCTGCTGCCGCTTACCCCTTTCGAACTTTGCCTCATACATTTGATTTTCAATTAACGCTCTACAATTTTAGACATCACTTTCTGTTTGATATAATTACAGGAAACAATTTATTGGCTGATTAAAATTGAGGCCTCGGTTTCGCCTTAAGAAAATAGGGCCGCGGATCGGTCTGGGTCTCTAGTGCCTTTCTCTGCACTAACTAACAGACTTTGCTTGTTTGCACAGCTGCGGTATCCCGCTTGATTAACTTCCATTGACTTCCATTGTCCACTTCTGTTGGCTGCCGCAGAGCTCATCTAAGACTTCATGGAGGTGTTTGTGTCATTTTTGTATGTTTTTTAATTTCATTTTAAGTATGCATAACAAAATTAATATTATTGCAGCTAGGTTAAGACTATAGTTTTGTTTTTTGAAGCTTCCTTACTGAACTGTATTAAAGATCTCATATTGAGAGTGTGAGGCTTAAGTGCTCAGCCATGTGTGCAAATTGATGGCATGTCTTCAAATGAAGTAGTCATACTTTAAAGGGCCTGAGAGCAATTGGGCCTGACAGCCCATTGCAACCCACACATCCCTCATGCGCCGGAGTGTACGGCCGCCGCACGCACGTGAACAGATTAACTCACAGTTTGGTGTTAAAATAATCTCTCCCGGTGTCAAATTTGTTTTCGTCCCACGATGAGCCACATGCTGGAAAACTTGGCAGGGCTGGGAGATGGAGTTCTGGAGGCACCTTGGGCTGCCTTCATTACCCAGCCTGCCTCTCTCTCATCTCCTCTCAGTCTCAGTGGGCAGTAGAAGGACATTAGCTCACCTGCAGCCCTTGACCTACAACGCCCATGCTCTTTGTCCAGGCTAATGTGGCTAGCGGCAGCGTTTTGGCTTCCTCTGCCACAGCGTCTCGTGGTCTCTGGGCGTTACGGACAAAACAACGATGCTCATCCCTACGTTCAGCAGACAGTCGTTTGTATGATGGCTTTTCTGGTGTTCTTGCTGTCTAGTGTAAATGATTCTCTCAAGACAGGCATATTAAAGGTGAATAAAAGTTGTGTGGCAGCCAATTCGCAACTCATTAGATTAGTTCCAGATATTTAATCAATCCCTTAATTTGATTAGGAGGTTAGGTTTTAATTTCCTTATCAGTAGAAGGATTTCATTAATTGTTGTAATAAACACTTTAATTTAGTTATATTCTTCTATGACATTATGAGTGCTAGTGTAGTGTCAATTATGTTGTCAGATAATTAAAGGTAATGGAAAGGGTAGTAGGAAAGTTTGTTGGCTAATTCTAATCTCATTAGGTCCAATGCAGCCAGTTTTAGATCAACTGCTTAATTTGATTAACAGTTTAAGTGATAATTTCCTTAGCTATAGAGAGATTTAATGAATTGTTATAGAAAATTAACATTAATTCATTCATTCATTATTTTTTGTAACAATTAATGAAATTACTCTATATCTAAGGAAGTTATCACTTAACCTGCTAATTGTATTAGACAGTTGATCCAAAACAGGCTGCATCGGATCTAATGTGATGAGAATTAGCCAACAAACATTCCTATTAGCCTTTCAACTACCTTCTGTTATCTCAAACTGTAATTTACATGAACAGAGTTAGAGATATAGAGTGATTTCATTAATTGTTATAAAAAATGAACATTGATTAATTTATTCATTTTTTATAACAATTACTGAAATCACTCTATGTCTACGGAAATGATCACTTAACCTGCTAATTGAATTAAACAGTTGATCTAAAAGTGACTGCACCAGATCTAATGAGAGAATTAGCCAACAAACCTTCTTACTATCCTACTATCCTAAATATCGTAGGGTCAGAGATATGGAACGATTTTATTCATTGTTATAAAAATAAACAAATTTTTAATTAATACATTTATTTATTTATTTATTTATTTATTTATTTATTCATTTTTGTATTTATTTATTTATTTATTTATTTTTTTTCTGTTCATAATATAATAATAATAATAATAATAATAATTTTAATTCCTTACATTTATATAGCGTTTTTCTAGACACTCAAAGCGCTTTACACATTGGGGAATCCTCATCCACCATCCACCACCATAATAACACTTGGAAGTCAAATTTGTGGCTATGGATAAAGAAATCTTGATTTTATGCAATATGACAATTTTATGAAATATGTCACATTGACTTTTGTTTGAAAAAAAAAAAAAAAGAATTAGCCAAGCCTGTTTTGTAACATGGGAAATTCTCTATAAAACTTTGCAAATTTATCTCCCTTCTGCCACAGCAACCTACTCGAAATATTCCTGAAACACAATTGCAAAAGCAGAAAAGCTCAATTACAACAAAACGAAGGAAAATGACACATTTATAGACTCAATATGAATGTAATGATCAAACTCCCGTTATGTGTCAGCGTCTCAGCATCACAGCTCTTTTTGTGGTTGGTGGCAGGGTTAGCTCTTTAATGAGAGCGTGTTATATGGTATGGTAACCCTCTTAGCGGGGTAATCAGGCATGGGGCGGGGGAATCGGGCCTGCCTCAGGCAGCTCTCCAGCCATAGCTCAGCACGTCCATTTACATTAAACAAAGGATTAAGAGGGACCCCAGTGCATGCCGTTTCTCTCACACCGAGCTCAGAGTCATTGATAGGATCTCCCCAGCTCTGATACCGGTCCAATCGTGGGGTTAGATGTGGCGCAGAGGCTCAGAACGGCAGCCAACTTCATATATATGTGATGTGAGAGCGCTCATAGAGAATGAAAGCTGAGCTCCTGCATTTCCTGTCTGACATTTGCAAGATGGAATGATGTTGTTGCACTCAAAGTGAACATGTTATCAGAAACGCCTGTTTTTTTTTTCTCTTCTCCCAGCAGAATCATGTCTTCCAAGCAAGCCACCTCTCCATTTACCTCGACCCCTGATGGAGGTGAGGATGGAGTGAATCAGGAGCGTATGCCCTGGGAGAAGGAGGAGAACTCAGAGTCGCTAGTTGCCCCTCAGCTGCCCCTGCACAATCTGCTCCACAACAAACCTCCCCTGGAGGAGCTCCAGCCAATCAGCAGCAGCGTGCCACCCGAATCCGACTGGGACAGCCTGATGTCAGCTCAGCAGCGCATGGTGAGTGCCACTGCCAGCGTTTCTTAGCTCATTTAAGTGTGCTACCACACGCTATGTGTGTTTTTTAATTTCTAATGAGGTGTAGATGAGAGATCACATTATTAAAGATAGTTGGCAGGATTCAAAGAGTGAAAACTGTCTAGTCAAGTTGATTCATCTGGAACGCCACATATATTTTCAGCTCATGACACAATCTTACGGCATAAGCACAACAGGAGTAAATCTCCAGATGTGTCCCACCTCTATTCTCTCTAAACAACACACATGCACACTTGTACTCCTGCAGAGAGGAATCCTCAACCCAAGGACACAAGCAGAACAGAGCAGGCCTCTGCGGAAAACTTTTGAATGACGACTTAAGACTTTGTGATTTGCCAAGGACTCGGCTTTGAAGTTTAAGTCCCCCACAAGTGCCTGGAGATCCCGCGCACTGTAAAAAGTGCAGGAGAACAACGTATTGAATTGCATTTCACGTCAGAGCGATTTTATGAATCTATAAATAGAGGGACAATGAGAAAGCGGGACTAGGAGTGGGAATTCAAGGGAGTTAAGGGAGCCCCCTCCGCTCCTCCGTGGTGGTCTCTCTAGACTGTGAGGCATAGAGCCCAGACACAAGACTGACAGACACTTATTGTTCGATGCTTGTAAAAGGGAATTCTCTATGAACCCCTCTGCTGCTGCTGCTGGCCCAGAGTTAGGTGACTCAGTCCGGCCCCTGAGGTCTGGACTCCCCTGGCCTGTCAGCATGCAGATGCCAAAGCCCACTTTAATTAGCTTACATATTCATCTTTCATGAGATGCTTTGTGCTTATTCTTTAGCTTGCATTCCATTGGTGGAAACTTCACATCATGTGTAGAGACACCTACATGTAATGTATGTGATGGACAACATCACATAGCAAATGACAATCACAAATGTAATCTTTTTAAGGATTGAGGCATACAACGTGGATGTCAAAGAACTAGATAAAAGTCATTGCGGTTGCACATTGCTTTTTGGCCAAAAAGCTACACTTGCACACAGCATTCTGTGGCTGCATGTAAGGAAACACCTGTAGATTTAACATGTTGAATTAGGTGACCCGCTGTCAACGCGAAACCAAAGTGAATCGATGTGTGGAGCACACCAAATAGCCTGACAGATGCTAGCCAGTGGCCTGATGTTGTTATCTGAACAAGCTT